GACCTCTGTTGGTCTCTCCACTAAAACCACGATAGGCCTTTCCCTTCCAAGCACAATCCCGCTGCTGTCAGCTTCTCCTCCTCCGTCAACCCATTGACGGCAAAATACCGCTCTACCTTGTAAATCCATCCATATACATCTTCTCATTCGAAGATGGACATCTTCAACTTCCTCACCTTCTGGTCACCACCATTTCCCTTGATTCTTTTATAGTTTCCCCTCTCCCAAGTGCTGGGTGCGCCCCAGGTTTCCCAGTCTTCCCTTGCTCTACCATAGCCCCAACCCCCTTCAAAATCCCCCTTTCTTTCTTCAAAATCAGCACCTCGGTGGTCGTAGTATCCCTCATGGCGTTTCACGTATCCTCCTCTTTCTTCCCCCTAGAAAGACTCCAGATGGGGTCTTCTTCCTTCTCCTTCCACGATCTCCAACTCATCTTCCTCCCTACAGATTTCAGAATTCTTACTCTTTCCTTCTATCCCTTTTGCCACTGAAGCCGCTGTTTGATTTTGAATCTCTAACATTTTCTTCATCATATCTCGGAGGTCGGCGACTTGTCCCTCCATGGAAGAGATCCTTTCCTCCACTGACATTTTGATTTGATTCATCTCCCCTTCAAGTCTTTCTTCCAAGGCATCCACTTTTTTGGCCGCCATCACAATCTGGCGTTTGTAGATTCACAAAAAATATGATTTTGGAGTAAAAATCAGCAACTTCTTCCTATTTGAAGTGAAGAAATGCTGCTGGAATTCGTTGAAATCAGCCCTCCACCGGTCCCGAGACTTGCTCTGATACCAATTTGATAGGAAATACTTGAGTTCGCAAGTAACCCTAAGGGAATACTTGAGTTCGCAAGCAAACCTATCACTAATTGGAAGAAAACGGAGAGAACAACGCAAAATATGGGCGAAATCAGCCCCAAAACAATAGTTTGCAATCAAAGAAATAAAGCAAAACACACACGAAAGCAAGATGCAAGTGATCCCCAGTTCGAGAGGAGGATCGTCTCTCCCAAATCTCTAGACAAGAGAGTCTAGAGCCCAAGCACCAAGAAACCCTAATTCCCAATTAATCAAAACATGAAAACTCCCTAATTCCCTCCTCCCCTTTAATACAAGATCTTTCCTATTTTAATTTCCCTCCCAAATCCTAATCTCCCCACTCCGTTTGAATTTTCAATCCATTGGAATAGTGGGGCCCGCCCCATTAGGCAAGCCAAGCAAAGGAGGCGGAAGTCTCTGCCTCCTACAGACCAGCGAGTGCTGGTTCTGGACCGGTTCACAAAGAACCGGTCTAACAGGCCACTAATTGATGTAAGCAACTTAAAGCAAAGCACAAAGAGAGAACGACAAAGAGAATCAAGACTTACTTTTAGAAATTTAAGACACCACTTAAAGAACAAAATAGACTAGATAAAACAATTGAAATTCAGATTAGACAAGAGCCAATCACCCAACAAACCCAACAAAAGAAAGATAGCAAAAGAAAAAAAGAAAAATTAAAAAAAAAAATGCTATCCTCAGAACATCCTACAAGAGGACTCCTCACATGCACCGATTGTAGGAATATATATATTAAAATAAGGTTTAGATATGCAAACCAAGGGTCCACCATTGCAAAGGGGTTCCAATGTCCTACCAAACTCCTCCAGCAAATGCCACCAAAACAGCCAACAACTTCACCAAAACAGCCAACAAACTTTACCAACGGAACCAGAAGAAAGATACAGGTGGAGTGGAACTTGCGTAGAGAAGAAAGAGGTTAGAAGCCCAGACGAAGGGTGGAGAAGCTCGCAAGCAAGCCTTCCAAGAGGTAGAAGAGGGAAATGGACAAAGCTCTCAAGCTTTTCCAAGAAGAACCCGCAGGTTATAGCAATTTGATCTCAATATTCACCAACCATTTCATCTCAAAGCATCTCATATATATAGGCAATAGAGGGGAAACTTAACAGCCTAAAAACCCTTCAAATCCCCATATAAAAATAATATAAATGAAAGGCCAAAAGTCACATTGCTGAAATCCCAAGAGGCACAGCAAAGCGGAGAAGGAAAAAGGCCACGGAACCAGGTAAATTCACGGAACCCAGTAGCTTTTGTATAGAAATCCCAAACGGCACAGCAGTTCATAAGGAAAGCCACGACTCCAGCACAGGAAACCAGGAGCCAAATATCGGGTCCAGCAACTACACATTTCACGGGAGAAAAGGGGGAAGTCACGGCAGTAAAGGAGACAGAAAACCGAGGGGACACAGCAGGAACAGCAAGCCGTGGGAGAGGAATCCAGAGAAAAACTGCAGCAGCCCCAATTCAAATAGAATATGAAAGAATAAGTTCCACTCACCAACTCTAGCTCCCTATCATAAAATTTCATAACTAAACATCAGCTCATAATGAGCTACACCTCCACTTGATAATAATGAGCTGGCACCACTAGAATTTCAACAACCAAAGTTCAAACCGAAAACAGCCAAGGCCCACATGAAACCAGCAAACAGCCCAAAGGACAAGGTAAACCCCAAAGCCAGCAAACCCAAGGTAAGCATAACCCAAACATTTTCCTACCATGATCATTGGATTTACCACCATCATTGGATAGCTTGGAATACTTGAGTTCGCAAGCAAACCTATCACTAATTGGAAGAAAACGGAGAGAACAGCGCAAAGAGAACAGCGGGTGCTGGTTCTGGACCGGTTCACAAAGAACCGGTCTAACAGGCCACTAATTGAGCAACTGAAGAAAGCCATGAAAAACATCTCATCCTTCCACATTGAGGATAATATGCATCTTTGGGGGGAAAGTATTGTTACGGCTGCAGGCAACGGGAGGTTACACCGGCCACTAGCAGGCGATGGAGTGGGAAGAACTTGAAACCCAATCCAGGGTGATTTCGGCCTCTCTTGTGGGGCCCAACAAAGCAATAAATTATTATGTTAGGAGAGTAATTAAGGAGGGAAATATCTCCTATTTAATTCAAATAGGAGAGGGAAATCAATAAGGATAGAAGACTGATTTGGGGGCTGATTTGAAGGGTATTAATTAGGAGATGTTTCCTCATTAAAAAGACTAATCTGGGGGCTAAATTGGAGGAGATTAATTAAGATATATTTCTTAATTAAAGATGGCTGCTTTGGAAGCCGAATTGGAGGAGATTAATTTGGAGATATTTCATAATTGAAGAGGGTTGATTTGGGAGTTGATTTGAGAGGAAATTGGGGGAGGGCTGTTTTGGAATTTATTATTTATTGTTTGCTATAAGTAGTATGATTTATGTTATATTTTGTATGCATAATTTGATTTGAGAGTATTGTAGTTTTTTTTTTGTGTGTGAGGGATCCTAGGGGCATCTAGGGTTTGGGAGAGAAGGACCTCCTTTTGAAAGATGATCATTGTATCTTGCTATGTTCGTATTTGATTTTTTATCAATTAAAATTTGTTTTTTTGTTGAATCTCTTGGAGTTTGTTCCTATTTTTGATACCAAGGCGCATCAGCATTCCAAATATATTATTTGGAATTCAATAATATCAACATAGGTGTTAATAAAAGGTCAAACAAATTTACTTAACCAAATATTATTCTTGCAATTTTATACATAAAAAATGAGGTTATCATTAAAAAAATGAATACAATGCATTATAGTTTCTTTATTGTTTTTAAGTAATAAGACTAAATTAGATGCTATTGTATGACTTCACTGATTTATCCAGTTTTTTTTAAAACATTAAATTCTTAATTAAAAAATGGAAGGAAAAAGTATCCAAATGTTTTTCATATTTTGCTTTCTTTTAAAAATTTAAGCATTAATAAATGCAACAACAATAACAAGCCTTTATCCCACTATACGAGGTTGACTACATGAATCTTTTTTCTCCATTGTATCCTAACAAGAGTCAACTTCTCATTTAAATTTAATAAAAAAATTATCAATTTTAATACTTTCTAAATAAAAATTTTTAGGTCAACCTCTACCTTTTTTAACATAGATTGAATCTAATACATCTACCCTCCTAATAGGGTCACCAGAAGACCAACATTTTATGTGATGAAGCCATCTATGGCAACTCTCTCTAATTTTATCTACCGCTAGCTTTTTCATATATATAGCATTAATAAATGTGATTTTCTAAAAAGAGAAGGAATAAAAAAACAACAACGACAACAACAACGTGCAATATACCCATATTTCTCATCATTTCACACTTGCATTGTTTGTAGAAGGGCAGGAAGCACCCCATGGAGCCTAGCATGAGTGAGGGGGGCGCTAATTTAATCGACTAAAACCAACTAAACTCCAGCATTAAATATAATTTTGAATTAAGAGACCCGGCATCCGATAGCTAAATTGTGAAAAAAAAAATTTCCTTCTCAAAGCACAAGTTTAAACTTATTCCAAGGCGAAAGATGTAAAATCATAGTTATATAAACATAGCCTAAAAATAGTCCACTGCTCATCATCACAGCTCCCTTGATATTATCCCAATTACTTGGAGTTGGCTTTATCAATCCTCATTATCCATTAATTTCTATAAAGTGTACCGCAAGCTGTAAACTATATTTTTTAAAAATATTTTTGCATGATTTTTTAGCTATGTTACCTTTAATCTATTCCTTCTCCTTTTAATACTTTCATGAGAATTTTATCAAACCTTCATATCGATCATCTTCTATTATGTGTTGTACATGTTCAGACCAAAAACAAAAACAAATTATAGAGCTATGCAAATGAAAGAACTGTAAAAACTCAAAAGAATATTAGAGCAGAGTAGTATTTACAAAATATGTATGATTAAAAAAAGAAGATAATCATCTAGCAAAACAACTTAAGGTAGACAAGCAGTAAGTTAACCTCTAAACAAGTATGAACATATCATGCTACGAGTAAAAAAGCAGATATAACTAGCCATATAACTTCAACAAATGAATTCCATGCCTAAGAACTAACATACCTGAGGAATTAGAGTCTGGATCTCTTCAGGTACAACTTTAAGAACCTTCTCATACAAGACAGAATTTTGTTTCCCTCTGAGAAGATCCATCTTGTTCACTATCACAACCAGAGCACGGCCCTCTTCAACTGCTTGACGAGCTATAATCACTTCATCATGTTTCATACTGCTCTTTTTTCTCGCAATCTACATTTATAATTTTGCCGTAACTATATGTAAAGATACAGCATGCTAAAACAAAGAAATATTATAATTATAGCAAGAGATATATCACACCAGAGATTTTTTTTTATAAACAGAAAGGATGATGAAAACTAAAAGGACAATGAGAGGCTAAAGTATAAGAAAAAACTTGGTAACCTCCACAGCATGCTAAATTAGATTGAGTTAACATGCAAGCTATTTTTAGAGCCCAATATTTATGTTATATTGGATCCCCGTTTGATATAGTTGATACAACTAAAGTGAATGCTGATGTCTATTTAGCAGAGGAGTGTTCTAAGTCAAGATATCCTTTTGAGCTGGCAGGATGATGAGGAGAAGGGAATAAGATTTAGCTAAGAGATGAGATAAGAACAAAAGAAGAAGAGACGCAAAGAAAGCGATTGAACAAAAGAAATTTTCAATATTCAGTATTCATTAAATGTTTCTGATAGTCTCATTGTACCTTTTATATAGAGAAGGATCTTCAATACATACTAGACTTGTAAGGCAATAAATAGTGTATCATTGTTACATAATTAAAATATCTACAAACCTAAACAGACACATGGCAATGATTGAATTGGAGAAGAATCAAATGATCATGATTAACTTCAAAATTCACCCGAGTCGAAAAAAACTCTTCTCTGAAGAGTTGGAAGGTTGCAGCCAAGGCGAAATGAAGGCAGGACTAGATCGTGCATGTCTCTATAACCAATAGGAAAACATGCATATAGTTCTCGAAGAATGAGGCAATCATCTAGAGATTTTGGTAAGAGATCACATAAAACTCTTTCCTTGGTTTAGCCCACAACGACACTCACAAGCACTTATGCTTTTTTCCCCCCCAACAAATCGAAGCTCATATGCATATTCATTGAGATTGTGATGCATGCAAACTTCATTTCAATTTTATTTTGAACTTTATTGAAATTTGAATTTTATTTTTTTATGTTTTTTTTACCCTATGATGGAAGGCATCAATGATCATGTGTAGGTTGTGCTCTTGGGCATGCTATTCCTTTGGTGTGCTAGTTTCTTTGGTGCCATGACATTTGGGCGGACTTGGGTTTGACCCAAGTTCCGTGGTTGTGGTTTGGTTGATTCGGGTATGTGTTGGCTGTAGATTGTTGGGCTTTAGTAGCCTTTATTCAGCTCGCTTTTTCTGCTTTTGTGCATCCCGGGTTCATTTCCCCTTTTTGCCTCTTCGTTTCCTCTGCATGTCCTGATTCTCCACCCTGGCGCCTGTTCTCTTTGATGGCTGTTCTTGTTTCCCGCATGCCCCTTCGTGTGCTGCTTCAGGCGGATGTTGTCTGGTCTTTTAACTCCCTCTGTCTTATGGTTTGAGTGGGCGGTTGTTTGGCTATTTGGTTCCCTTTCTGCACCTATATATTGGGGCTACTTTGTGGCATCTGGAGAATTTTTGGGAGTGATAAACACTAAAACATGAGGGTTTCTTCTTGATAGCTTGCGAGCTATGTTCCCTTTTTTCTTCTCCTCTCTATAATATCATCTCCGGTTTCTTATCTATTTCTTCTCTCCACAAGTGTCCACCCCATTTGAATCTTTTTTCAAAAGCTTTTGAAGGTGTTGGTTGGCCTGTTTGTTAGCATTTGCCGGAGGAGTTTGTAGTGGACGTTGGCCAAAAGTTGTTGTGGTGGACAACTGGTTTGCATGTCCTTGAGCACTAATCATTTTACCTACTATTTAGATGCATGTGAGGTGACCAATAGCCGGTTGTTTTAAGGGTAATTTTTATTTTTAATTTTCTTGTGTTTAACTTTCGTTTGTTTTCAGGTTTGTTTGGTGTTGGCTTACTAAGTGTTGAATTGAGTCGGGTCTACTTTCCCTAGTGTTCTCCTTTTTTTTTGTCAAAGTTACTTGCATCATATTATCTTCAGACTTACGAGCATATATTATAGTCCGATTAAGAGTTTTCTCTCTAAACCATCATGCATAGAATCAAGCAAACGGACATATGATCCTTGGATCGCAAGGATGATTAGTTTAGCAAGTCTCTAATATTAATTAAATTTGTGGAACAATTGGATAACATGTGTCAATATAGTATGATTTGTTGGAGTTATTTGATGTCCATGTTAATATTTTGACAATTTTCATAGTTAAACTTTTGGTATTTTACTATTTTGGTAATTTTGTGCATCTCACTATGAATATATCTTACTTACATCATGTATTTTATAATCCCACAAAATCATGCTCTAGATTGAATTGTGTTTGGCAAGTGTTTGGCAAGTGGAGTAGTCAAGTAGGTAGAAGAACTAGAGAGAGTTAGGACAAGTATATGCATCCAATGAAATATTGTTTGGTATCAATACCACTACAAGAAATAAAGTACGTTGCTCAATATATCAATATCATTTTTTCACAAGAGTATCTTTCAGTACATTAGGTATATTATCATCAAGAACCCACCAAGAGACTAACATAGATGGCACCATCAACTGTCAGCGCCCTTATCAGGCATGCCTTGACACTTGCTATATGTAAGCACGTAGGGGGACCATGTAACCCCACCCTCCTTACTATATAATATTTTAAAAGAAAGACTCCTACCATTCTTTTTCTTTACTCCCACCCAAACCCTCTCTCCCTCCCTCCCTCCCTCTCTCTTTGTGGTGCTCTCACCTCCACACAAATACTTCTGAACACTGAGCAAGATATAAGGGACATTACAGGCTCCTCATGAAGTTTATGTTATAGTACATGGAGAACTAGCATAAAACACGCATACATGTTTTTTCTTGGTGTCGTGGGTACAAAATGCATTCATTTCGGTGATTTGTGCACCACCCATACAAGTCTTTCATGATGCAAGGGAGACACATTTGGTTGTGGTATGATGGTATCCCATACATCGTCGATAAGCTCTTCTAGGCGATGGAAATCTCAACACATTTTTTTTAGAAACCCTTTATGGGGTGACATCAAAGTGATGCTGAAATCTACCTAAAATTTAACTTAAGCTTCACCATCAAGTACAAAAGTCGTCAATGAGACTTTTCTCTCCTCTGGATAGAACATTCCTTCAAAAATCTTCTCAATCCTTAGCAATCAGTTCTCTTCCTCAATTGGTCCCTATATTCCCTTAAATAAGGATGGTCTCATATCCTGAAATAGCTTTAAGTACTTATCCATGGTCATACTACTGCCACTGCTACTTCCTGATGGTTGATTCCATGAGTCATGAATCAATTGAGTCATAACTGTCATCATTTGTGTCAATGCATCAAGGTTAACAACAACATTAGGCACTGCCCTTTCGACATCTTCTTCAGGATCATTCTGAGTCCTGAAATAAAATAAGATATCTTTACAAATTCAAAATTTAAACTGAAATCAATTTTCTTAACTTCAATAATCAACCTAATAGCTCTTCCAGCATGATTCATATCCTAATTGTCTCTGATACCACTTTTGTCAAGACCCGGTCCGGAGACTCAAACTAACAAGGCGGGAATGAACAGTCGGACGGTTAATACAATTTTTTTCTATTTTTCACAATTACACATAATAGTAAATGACTAATATTCCTCAAATACTGAAGATCCACTAACACTACTATTACATCGAATATGCTTTTAAACATAAACGCATTTTACAAGTTTTCATTTAAGCGTCGTCTTCTATAAACATGCTCCTCTCTTTCAGTCATTTTCACTTATCAGGAGACTTACATGAAAATGTTAGTTAAATCGAATGAGTTTGTAAAATAAACTCAGAGGGTAATCCTCATTAAATATACAACAGTTGATCATGTAAAATAGTCATATAAAATAAGCATATATTTTTCTTCAACTTTACATAATTAACATATACATCTTCTTTCATGTACTATAGGTTTTATAATTTCACATAAATCATTTCATATTCTATCTTATTTGTCCATTTCCACTTAACATTTCTTTAATAAGTTTGACTCCATTTCCATTTCCATTAATACAGGAGCAACATCTAATTGTACCAATAAAGGTACAACATTTCCTTTTCATTTTAACATGCACGAGTTAGAGTACGTTGCTTCCCGAGCCAGTACCATATGATGGGGAATTTCCGTAATTTTTTTTCATGCACATACCTTTTATCTTCTTTTAATTACTTTCATTTTTCATTTAAATCATCATTTAATTTACTCCATTTTTTATCACATATTATCTAAATTTGTAAGAATATCTGTAATTTAATCAATATCAAGTTAACTGTATACTTTAGATTTATTACTATGTTTTATAGAAAACCATATAGCAAATACTTCATCTTTCTATTTCTTTTATCCTTCTCAAATAATGTATTCATATAATAACCATCAAATCAATATAATACTATAATCATGTAACAATCAAATAATTAACCGAAATTGTTATAACATAAAAGAAAATTCTTACATTGCTATAAAACAATTGAAATTTCCCCACTTTGAATATTTTTGTATGTTCAGTTTCCTATTAAGTTTCCTTTCAAATCTTTGATCCTCTGAAATATACTTTCAATATTTCTCTTAGATCACATATGAAATTCTCACTGTTCCAATAACATTAAATTTCATTAATTACTGAGAAACCGTCTACAAATTCAATGTCACAATAAATATGATTTGACTAAAAGCCTTAAAAGTAATATTAAATGCATCGGCTATTATAGAGGAATTATCAAAAGCTTTTAACTTTCCATATTTGCATTCCGAAAAACTTTAAAATCAATTAAAATTAATTGCTTCAATCATTTACCCCGATCCATCTCTTTTCACTTAAAACAAGGCTCACCATCCATTAATTGGATTCATTCATGTGACATAAATCCAAAATTTTACATCTACTTCTTATATGAATTAATCAGAAATTTAAAGTAAATATCTTACTTGTTCCTCGCTGTAGAAAATGAACGCTCTCTTCTTCTTCCTTCAAATTTCTCTTTCTTCCTCCCCTAAATTCTTTCTTCTAACTTTAATTGAACATTTCTTTTTTACTTAAGTAAAATTATGAAATGATTTTATACAAAAATAATAAAAATAAATGATATACATACCTTCCTTATTCTTCTTCTTTCTCTCACAGCTGTTTTCCATCAGTTGTAGCTTCTCAAATGATTTTTCCCCCACAGGAGTGAGTGAAATGAACATATATGTCACAAGCATTTCTATATAACTATTTCATTCATTTATCGTTCAATAACTTTATATAGTGCATATGTTGAATAATCATTCTAACTATCAATCAATTCAATATGACCATTCCAAAAAAAGAAAAAAAATGTTAGTTTTATATTTTTTTTCAAAAGAATTTATTTTAGTGCTTATAACAATTTAATTAAATTAAATCTATCATATTAAAATTTACACACATACTTCTCTCTCTACATATTAATATAAATATTAATCTAATGATTAAATTCTCAAGATTAATTTATTTTATAAAATTCCAATATACACATATAAAATAAACAACTTGCATCTTCAATCGGTCGAGCCCTCACCTTTGTATCCTCTTGCATGCAAAACCTTGATTTCTCCTCCCTTGTTCTTGTTCTCAACTTGTCTTTTCTCATCTCCCTAAATCCCTATTTAAAGGAAGTTATCGCATCCTCTGCTTCCTCTGACTCCAAACGGCAACGAACACTCCATCCGACGCACTTTCTTTTGATTCCATCAACGCCTCCTTCGGCTTCCAAGCAACGCAATTCACGTCAATTGAGCTTCGATCGACTTCTTCGACTCCTCCTTCGTCGTCTTCAGTGGACGAAGCCGGTCGTGACCAGAAGACCAAACGGCATCAAACCATTTGAACCCTCTTCGTCTTCTTAAGTTTCCTTCCTTCGGTTTCCACAATACGTGACGGAAAGTTCCTTTGACAGCTTCGTCTTTTTCAACTTCTTCGACTTCTTCACGCGGCTCGCTCAAGTCAGGGTATTACATAATACTTCTAAATTCTGTGAAGAATCACATGCTTTTATGGCTATTACATTATAAATCAAATACTTTTTGGTATAATTTCAGTAAAAACAAAATAATACAGTAGGCCTATAGCAATAGCTATGTAAATTAACCCGCAGGTAGACCTAAATAAGAGCTACTTATAGCTGTGCAATTAGTTATTTTAATGAAACGATGGTGGTGTGGATTTGGCATGACATTAAATCACATGACTTGGAAAATAATACAATCAAGTGAGAAAAATCCCAAAATAACAACTTAAAAATAAAAAATATATTTTCCGCGGACAAAGAATACATAACTGCTGTTGCTCAATTCAAAGCAGAATCAGTTTCATGAATGAAATAAAACATAAGGGCATATTGAGAACATGCCGGAATAGAAGTTCCAAGAATAGCAGGTTGTGTCGAAGATTGTTTGAGTAACATGGGCTCAAAAAAATATATAAGTTTAAATTAGAAACATACATACAAAACATAGAAAAATAAGAGCTGCTAAACCATCCTTGTGGCAAACTGGCAATCAATTGAGGTTTTGTTTGGGACAACTATTTTTTTTTTTTGCGGCTGCTTTCATAGAAAACAGTAAGAAAGCTGTCTCAAACGAAGCCTAAATATCAAAAAAATTGGTTACTCTAAGGCCATTGCAACTGAAAGCAAAATCATCATCCGCTTTAATGAAAAGCAAGCTACAGAGAGGAGGGCATAACTTTCCTCAAAAAATAAATTTTAATGAAATCCATTTATAGGTAAAGCCAAGATCACAAGGAAGTTACATCAGCATGAAAGAGATGTAGCCTACAAAAGGTGGATTTTACAAATTTATTACAAAATGTAGTACAGCTAAAAAATACAATCGGATAGATGGTTCATTTAAAAATAGCCGAGGGTCAGTTTGAAAACAATGTAAATGAAATAATCATTTCTTTTCTTCGCTAATTTAGATAATAAGGGTATAAAAACTCATATGATGTTGAAGGGTTATTAATCAATTTGATAATTGCATTTTAGTGCTTATAGTTCAAATGTAATGGAGAGTGTGTGTGCGGGCATTTTAGTATGCTATATTTCAAATGTAATGTAGCAGACGTGTGTGGGTGGAAGGTGTAGTAGCATGATACTCTGGAAGGCACCAAGCTAAAATTGCACGGATAGAACTAGGGGTGTCAATATTTGACACGATCCGAAAATCTGACTCAAACCCGACCCGAAAATTCCAGGTTAGGGTCAACCCGGAAACAAAACGGGTCGTGTTCGGGTTCAACAATTCGACCCATTTCAAAAATCGGGTCAAATTCAGGTTAATCTTTTGACCCGAAATTGACCCGGAAACCCGAGATTGACTCGTTTTTTATCCAAAAAGCAGAGTTTGACCAGTTTTTTCACTCGAAAACTAGCAATTTTTTTATGGTTCCGGGTCATTCGGGTCGTGTCGGGTTGACTCGGTCCCGAAGCGGGTCGGGTTCGGGTCTGAAAAATCGATCAGTTTGCAAAAATGGGTCGGTTTGGGTTGACCCGAATAGTGCCGGTCAATTTTGGATTTGACCCGAACCCGACCCATGACCCGAAATTAACACCCCTAGATAGAACTACAAACCTAGTCATCCTAACAACAAAAATAAAATGACAAATAATTTAAATATTTGATAGTGCCAATATGATCAATTTACAGAATTAGAGACAATAACTAACAACATATATGGAAACAATATCTAACAACATATATGGAGGCCAACTAGTGTTCTCTTCAGTACATGCTCCAATCAGATATTATCATAATGGCAAACAATGAAGATGCAAATGTTTTCCCCTCCACATCTAGTTCTTCCATAAATGATTTGTTTCTTATCATTAAAACTATTTCGCTTATACTCTTTTTGAGCTTTCATTACAGTAGAAAGACCTACCAAGTACTTATTTCAAGAAAACAATTCTACCACTTCCCTATTGATCTTTATTTTGCTCATAAAACCTGTTAAACTACATTAAAAATATTTGTATACTATCAGCTCAGACTCACAGAACACCAAAAACAATAATTTGTCAGGTTGTGAGCTTATCTATATGCCTTGATTTTAGTCATTCACACCAAAGTTTGCATTGAGAAAAAAACAAACAGGTGACCATACCTCCTCTCCATCAAGTATCAATGCTACAACGTGAGCCCTCATGAGATTTTTTCTTGTCTGCACGATGCTCAAAGAAGAAGGGCCTTTTTCTTGTCCAGATCTATGCAACCAACCTGCTGTATCCACCTATATTGCACAAAATTACCAAATAAAATCAGCCAAGCTAATAGCAAAAATTAACACACAAAGCATGATGACAGCAATGTAATCAGACATTCAAAGTGTTTATTATGGTTTCAATGGTAAGAACAAGGTTTTGAGACAGAACTCCAAGCATGAGACGTAGCAGTTCAACAAGACAAAGTCTCTCTACCTAAAATTTTCATATGCTCTTCTACGGGTCAGCAATCAAAGCATGTTACCCATTTATCATCACCAAAAAATATTCATAAAATTCAGCAAGGTATTTGTGGACTTCTAGGCTCCTAACAAAAAAGTGCAGCAGCATATGACACAACTACTTACACCCACATATCCTCATAATAGAAGGGCATAAAAATGACTATAGTTGCTAGCATCTGTGGACCAAATTATAATCTCAACTCTTGGATGTGAACGAACACATTTTATTCCAAATTGAACAGGAGGCAGGGAACATAAGCTAAATAATCCTAGTCATTCAGCAAACACTTTTAGGTCCCCCAAGAAATGTCCCAGCACTAAACAATTCCACTTAGATTACCTTCCAAGCAAACACCCTCTTGCAATCCTCTAGATATGGTCATAACCATCTTAAAGTCAGTCTCTCACTCATCGGAGCTCTCTTCCGTTACAGCATTAAACACTTTGTCAAGTTCACAGCTCAGTTGCCTACTTGAACCATTGCTAGACACATGGCTACCTCCACCAACGCATGGAGCTCCATCCTCTACACCTAGTATTTGCACTCTCTACTCAACTTGACTCCTAATTTGAAAAGGGTTAAGCCTATTTAAGTTGGTTCTCTGATTACTAAAGGATCTACTTTTTACACCAAGCATCCTAACCTCTTCAAACTTCATAAGACTTTGAACTCCTCTTCCCTTTTTCAACCTCTGACGATCTTAACAACCATTTATTTCCTTCCCTTGTTGAGAGCTATTGTAAGATTGTAATATATTAAACATAAAAGTATTGAGGAAATATCTCATATTAAGCATAAACAATTTTGTTGAGTCACTTAAATCTCATGTTTGACTTAACATTTCATTTCCTCTTTATACACACTCATTTGTCACATCTCACTCAGTATCTCAGTCCGAACATCTCCTCTTATCTTTTTGAGCTCCCGAGTAATTTATTTATCCATCACACATGGCTGAGCAAGCAAGATAAACTGGTTGTTCACACTTTTTAGCATCGTCAGTGGGAAACAATTGGCTTAAAGTAAAAAGAGTTGTAACTAATATGTGTTTCCAACTGTTGTTCTATTGTTTGCCTTGTGTTTGCTTTATTGGTTAACCAATAGTTACCTATTTTTGCCACCTTAATTGATCGTTCCCTAAGTTGCACTGCCATTCTTGTTGGATAAATATTGCTACCTCAATTAATTGTTGTCTTTTACCTTACTGTTATTTCATTTCAATTAATCCATTGTTGTCACCTTCCCATTCATGCTGCTTGTCTGCTACACAAAATAACCCGCATATGCCTTCAATGGCTTTTCTATTTTGTCACAAAAACTTTCCTATTTTGGTAGGATCCTTAAAGAAATTCAAGAAATTTGATTAATGGAAGATATTCCATGGCTAAATTTTAAGAAGAGTAAATTGAAATATTGTTTCACAAATATTTCTATAGATTTCATATAGTTTCTTAATTTGGATCATTTGAAGGCAACAAATAAGACCTTTGATGCATACAAAATTCACTAGAGAATGAATATTTTTCTGATGGAACTTAATATTTAACGATTATTAAATTAACTTTTGAGATGAAGTAAACATTAAAGAAACGGACCAAATCACTTGAGAATGGCACTCTCCCTTGATTTGGACTGAATCTACCTGATGTGATACATTATGCGATAAACAAGAATTGCAATTAAGATATTAATAACTTGTGAACTTGCGTTGCTAATTTTAAACAATTGCGTTCCAAGATAGATCGTAAGAATTTTCCATGGAAGAACTAAGCAACGTCAATCAATTACATTTAGAAGCAACATGAAACAAACAAAATTAATCCAATAAATAAGTAATAAAGCAAATGGCTCTTAACAAAAATCCAAGGCTTAAGATATAGATCCTTCACCTCGAAGTCCCTCACTTTCACTCTTGGATTCACTTGGTTAGCGGAAGAGGATGGCACACAAACTCAACGATGCCACTATTAGACAAGTAATGCCGAGGGGGCTAGCCGCCGGGGAGGAAGTCGGATTTGGGGAAGATGGTAGACGCCCTTTGATGATCCAATCGTCTGTCGGAAGTTGCTCGTCAATGACGTCCACGAGGGTGGGAAGAATACGGTTCAAGTAATCATCGACGGTGTCTATAGGGCTTAAGAAGACCTTGGACAGCTGCTGTGGGACGTCTGGAACTTCTGGACAGCAATTAGCGATGTTCCAGGACGCAGGGCAGCAAATTGTTTGCTGAAAATTGTTGACCGGAGGATTCTTAGCAGTGATACTACTGATTTTCCTTGGCAGGAATTTCAGGGCAGCAGGGTAACACATCCAGGAACTTGAGGCAGCGGATGTGGAGACCTTCTGGACGGCGTGACAGCAGGAAGAAGCCTACTGGTATTGTGAACGGCAGCTAGGGGTGTTTGGACACCCATTATGGAGGCTTGAACAGCAGTTTTGGCCCTTGAGTGTCTCTCCAACGATGCAGGACAGCAGGAAAGTGTATGAAAACTGCTGGACAGTAGGCTGTAGGAGAGCAGCCAGTAATTTGGGAGAGGAGGGCTTAGCCGTGAGATAGAGGGAGAGGGAGGAATTTAGAATGCTGAAATTAAATTCAGCTCCAAGTGATTTTGGAGGGAGATTAATTTGAAATTTCAAATTAATTCATTAATGACTAGGAGCGTTAATTGAGGAGGTAATTGGGGCTGATTTGGTGGAGCTTTTAATTTAATTTGGGAGAGAGAAAAAACAACAACATCAAGCCTTTTATCACTACGTGGGGTCGGCTAACATGAATTCTTTCTTCTCCATTGTTCCTACTTAAAAGTCAAATTTTCGTTAAGATCTAATAAGAGAAAGGTCATTCCTATATTTTCTAAAACCAAGTCTTTTTAGTCTTACCCTACCTTTCTTAACATAAGTCAATCTAATACCTCTACTCTCCTACAGGGTCATCGCAAGGCCGCCGTTTTAAATGTGACAACCATCTAAGGCGACTTTCTCTATCTTATCTCTACTGGGTCTAGCTCCAACCTTTTCACGATATATGCTCATTTCGTATCCTATCTCTTAAGGGTAATAGCACTCATTCCACCTGAGCATCTCATTCTCTGCCCAACTTAACTAGTATTATGCTTCTTTTTAAGGCCAACATTCGGCACCATTAATTAAGCATTGCAGGCCTCACTTATCATATCTTTATAAATTTTTCCTTAAGTTGAGGGGTATATTTCTATCACATAACAAGCCCGATGCGATTCCTCCACTTCAACCATCCATACCTTGAATTTCTGCTGATAATATCCCCATCTATTTCATCTCATTTACTCTTGAACATAGATCCAAGATATCTAAAACGCTTCACTCTTATATGACTTGATCGCCCAAGTCACAAATCCCCTCACTAGGTCTATTACTCTAAAATTACTACTCCATATATTATTCCGTTTTAGAATCTATTCAAGTCGAAACTTTAGACTTTAGGTTGACTCTCCAATTTCAAGTCTTCTTCACACTCCCTCTCTAGTCTTAATCATACAAGAAGAAGAGTCATAGCATAAATATGCATACACAAGGTACATCCTCTTGCACATGTCTAGTGAGAACTCCATTGACTAAAGTAAAAAGATATGGGCTTAAAGGCTGATCCTTGATGTAACCCAAACCGAAATATGGAATAATATAACTTGGTTCAATCCACTCTCTTGTGTTTGAACACAAGTAATAGCTCTGCATACATACTTTTAATGATTTGAATTATAGCATTTATGATCCTTTTCTTTTCAAGACTCTCCTATAGCACTTTCTTGGAACTTTTTCATATGCTTTTCTAAATCAATAAATTATCATATGTAGATCCTCTTATTTCTCTATATTTCTCCAATCAAACCTATAATAAAATGTATGGCTTCCATAGTCAATTACCCGGCATGAATCCAAATTGATTTTTGAGAAACATTAGTACACGCCTGCAATCCTATGCTTCCAAAATACTCGCTCCCATAGTTTTTAAAGTATGACATCATTAACTTTTAATCCTCTATAGATTGCACAATCTTGTACATCAACTTTATGTCTTTTAAAATAGGATATACAACTCATTCCAACTCAATCTGCGCCATTCTTTTCCCCTTTATTCCTTCCCCCAAAAAATGTATTAAAAAGTTTAGTAAAGCATGAATTCCTTCATCTCCAAGCATTTCCACACCTCTATTGCGAATATCATCAGGCAACAGCTTATTCCAACCCTTATTTTTCTTTAAAGCCTCTTCTAACTTCAGTTTTACTAATTACGCCGATAAAAACATAATCTTTTTTATTTTCATCTAGGGTGCCTAAGGTCACTAAGTCAACTTATTTTCACAATCTTCATTAAAAGTTTAGAAAATATCTCATCCATCGTTTGTTGAATATCATCTTCTAAGAAAAGTACTTTTTTGATCTTCATCTTTAATCATCTTCACCTTGAACTAAATCCTTCTAACTCCTATCTCTTTTGTTGGCTAACTTATACAATATCTTTCTCTCCTCTTTAATATCTAATCTATATATAAATCACTACAAGCTAATGCCTTTGCATCGCATATTGTTTTCTTAGCATCCTTACGAGGCACTTTATATATTTCCAATTATCAGGAATTTTTTAAAATTAAACCAATTTTTATAAACAAAGCTTCATTTTTTAATTTTTTCTTGCACTTGGATTCCAACACACAACTATTTTTACTAGTGGAGCTTTTTTCCTTTGATACTCCAAGGAATTTTTGCAATATTCTAATATCAGTAGCCACTTTTCCCACATAAT